GAGTTGAATTTAAATTATAACTTATATTTAACTCTATTTAATTTTTCATGATAAGTTTCCAACTCAAACTTAATTTCAAATAAAGTTGAATCCAACTCGAGTTCAAGTTGGGTAATATAACTCATTTACAACGCTAATTACACCAACTTTGAAATCTTAATGATTACTAGAAGAATGTTTAGAATTGCAAAATTAACAAAGTGAAGGTAGAGCTAACTCCAGTCTTCAATTAGTGCCATAAATTTTTTTTTTTATTTTTAAAAAATAAAAATCCTACTTTCCTCTAATTGTGAAAGTAGGGGAGACAGCCTATCTTTTTCGCTTGGATTTCGGATATGCTTTTTATATTTCTTATGCCACTAACAATCCCCGTCTTCTTCTTCCATTAAAAAATATAGGATAAACTGTTTTGGCCCCCAATGCCACTAATAAATTGTTGTTTTTATTTTACTAATATGTGCTTTTATGATTTTAGTTTTATGAACTTTTGTCTGATGGTTCTAGACGTTATGAACGGAGTGATACCACTCCGTCTGGAAGTGGAAACACTGTTGGTAGGTTAAAAATTTCACCACTAGCTCTTTTTTTCTTTTTATCCACCTCTTTATATAAAATATAATAGTAATAGACAATTACTTAAAAAAAAAAAAAATCCTATTTGTGTCTGATTGACAAAAAATAAGGAGAACTTATCTCTTTTTCTTTTTGCCCAATGAACCTTAAATGTAGTTTTCCCTCATTGTTTTTAAATTCTTGATTATAATTTTAGGTAACGATAGATTGGAAATACTCTTTTACCCTTATTATGTCACTATTAATTTTTATTTTTTCTTACAATATAAAAATAAGATGAATTATAGTTTCTTATTATGTCCCTAACTAATCTTTGTTTTATCTAAGCATGGTTCTATATAAACAAAACGTAATATAATTTTTGGTTAACTTCAACTAATTGTCTGGTTACTGAAAATCATTCTTTAAGAAGTAAGATCAAAACTTGTTGAGGAATGCTAGGAACACCCGCCAATCACACTCTCCAACCAACACTTCTATTTTCATTGGGCCACGTTATTTCGGTTTCAGACAGGTCATCATTTCATGGCCTAAAGCGAGCTTAGGTGGCCCAATAAATTTGTCAAAAAGGAAATAAAATTATTTAAATTGTTAATTTAAGAACTCGTTTATTTACAAAAATTTGAAAATTTAATTAAAAATTTAAATAAGTTTATAAATTTAATATAAGGTTTTACCTAACTGAAACGGAGAATCTATTTAATCATGTGGATATTATTCTAACTTTGTTGCTTCTATCAGTTACATGATTGTCCTGCGCTAAAGACTTTGACTTGTAGATATGAGAAGTTGGCTTTGTAAGTAATTTATAAAAGGGTTCATAAAAATCGCAACGGTAAAAAAGTAATTTAAAACATGCAAAGTAAATCAAATCTTTTAACTTTGAGGGTATTACACTGAGTATTGTAAAGAAGTACAATTGAGTTTTTTTTTAGAATTTGAACTTGAGTTGATGCTAGTATGATGGATC